GCCGTAATCCGAGTTATAAAATAGTTGAAGGTAGGTAAATGACGATTTACCAATTTCCACCATGAAAACGAAATAATTTAATTAGGTTTTTTACTTGGATTTGAAACTCCTAGATCTTTTGAGATTCATTGAACTTTTCAATGGCATGTTTCAATCTCGAGTGTGCCCTTCAGGTTTTGTGACTGGGATGCCGAGGATCACAAAACAAGGTGTGAAGTAACCATGCAAATATACTTGGTACCCTTAATATTTACCCCTCAATCGATGTGCCGGTTAACCACACGAGCTCCACTGATACTATGATAAATATTAAGTTACCCTTTGCCTACTTTGTTAAATCCAGGTTAGTGTGCCGGTTAACCACACACGCTCCACTAACGGTTTAAACAAAGTGCAAAGTGTAATTTCATGGATTAGCACCTTATTCACATTTTCCTAAGTAACTAAGATTGGGAATTAATAAAGGTTTAGTTACTTAGTATTTATCATTAATACTTTTAATGAAGGGAGAATTATAGTCCTTGTCCTACCTGTTCGGCTAACGACCCTCCACCAGTCAAGGAAGCGGTGGGTGAGAGTGGACACCCATTAAGCTGCCATTTTATAGGCAACAACCTTATACCCCCCTTATAGACCGGCTTCGTGAATGAGGCCTACTAATGGTAAGACGACTTGCTCTTATACATATAATATATTAAACTTTTAATATTATAATAGTATAAGGGTGTATTTTAGACATTTAAAATACTTGATGGTTTAATCTATTAATTAAACTAGACTTTTAATTTAATTAAACTCAAACCATATATTTATGGATTTAATAATACTCTTTTAATTAATCGCTTTAATTAACTATTAATAAAGTCCATAAGAGTTAATTTGAACTATTCAACAAAACATCATAATTCCAATTTTTAAACTCAAAATTAAAACCATTTAATTAATTGTTTAAGTTATGAACCCAAGAGTTTTAGAATTCAATTCTTTTTTTCATAAAAAACTTTTCTCAAATTCCAAAACTTGAGGGCAAGTTTTGTAATTCTTGAAAACCTTTGGATTCCATAACTTATGGAATTAATGGTGTTTTATGATGAAACTTTCCATGTTCCATAACTTAAGAACAAGTTATGGAATTCTTTAAAACATTAACACCAAATTTTGTAACTCCATAAAAACTTTGAATCAAATTTTTTTTTTTAAAAAACTTTCATATCCATAACTTATGGAAGTTTCAAAAACCCTTAAGATCACAACTTTAAAAAAAAATTTGAGCTCCAAAATTTTTTGACAAAATTTGTAACTCCTTAAAACATTTAGATCAAACTTTTAAAACTAATAAAATAATCATATCATTTTATCTTTTACTAAATTTGACCTAATTCAACTCATATAACAAATGATTCAAATTTTACAAATAATTCGTTTTTCACAAAACAAGTAATTATCTTAAAATTTGACAAACGTCATGTTTTTTTTCTTTTTTTTTCAACTTGAAAATAAAACATTTGCATCAATATAACTGAAAACAACCCATGGCTCTGATACCACTGTTGGGTTTTGAGCATTCTAACACTCCTATGGTGTACATGCAACCCTATAAACCTTGGATCTATGTTTTCTCTATTATACATGCAAATATTAACTATTCCAAGGTTTCATCCTAACTAGCATATTATGAAGCACCTATACTACAAAGTTCTAGTTAGATGACATACCTTTTGATGTAGCTTGATGTCTTCAAGCTTTAAGAGCTTAGCCCCAATAGTGTGGAAGCCTCAAATGGAATCACAAATCGCCAAAACACCTTGGAAGAACTTGAGAGAATATGTATGCACACTAAAATCGGCCCACTCTTATTTTCACACACTTGTGCCAATTTTGTGAGCCAAGGACCCCTTTATATATTATGGAGGATTAGGGTTACATCCATGTAAACCCTAATACCCATGACCTTTCATTTACATAGGATCCATGGGTTAAAAGCTCCATGGACCATCCATGAAAGCTTAGCCCAACCTAAATGAACTTGGCCCATTCCATATATATAAGAGTCCATATTTAATTAGTTTTTTTTTATCACTTAATTAATTCTAAATTAATTCTTGATCAATACTAATTAAATAATATGATTCCATATTAATATATTAGAACTTATAATATATTAATATAAATCATAAATATACTATTCTCAAAAGACTATCCATATAAATTGTGTCGGTGAAGTGCAACCCAAATGGACCATGCCGGGTCGGGTCAAGTACATACCAAATATAGTTATGGACTTAGACATTAATCCAACATTCATCACTAGTCGTGGTTTCACTAATAGCAAATCAGACACTTCTCTTTTTATTTACAGACAGGGCGATCAGATTGCTTACTTACTTCTCTATGTTATGACATTGTGTTAACTGCATCTACCACAAGCCTACTTCATCATATTATTGCTTCTCTTCGCTCTGAGTTTTCCATGACAGATTTGGGTGCTCTGAATTATTTCTTAGGAGTCGCTGTCTCGCGTGACACTCACGGCATGTTCTTGTCTCAGCAGAAATATGCTATCCAGATTCTTGAACGAGCTCATATGCTTAATTGCAAACCTGCTCGTACCCCAACAAACACTTCTGCCAAGTTTGATGGATCGGGTCCTCCGGTCACTGATCCGACTCTATATCGTAGCCTTGCAGGTGCTCTTCAGTACTTGAGTTTTACCAGACCAGACATCACTTATGCTGTTCAACAAGTTTGTCTCTTTATGCATGACCCTCGAGAGCCTCACTTTACAGCTCTCAAGCGTATCCTTAGGTACCTTAGAGGCACCTTAGATCATGGTCTTCAGTTATATGCCTCTCCATCACGTGGTCTCGTTGCTTACTCTGATGCTGATTGGGCTGGCTGCCCAACTACTCGACGCTCTATGTCCGGATACTGCGTTTTCCTGGGGCAGAATCTTGTATCCTGGTCTTCAAAGAGACAGGGCACCATCTCACGCTCTAGTGTTGAAGCTGGATACCGCGGAGTTGCAAATGCCGTTGCTGAGACGTGCTGGCTTCGCAATCTATTACGCGAGTTGCTTTATCCGCCTCTCACTGCAACCTTGGTTTATTGTGATAATGTTAGTGCCGTTTATCTGTCTTCGAATCCAGTTCAGCATCAATGCACTAAACATATAGAGATTGATCTTCACTTTGTTCGCGACCAAGTTGCCATGGGTCATATTCGTGTGCTTCATGTTCCTTTTTCTTCTCAGTACACGGACATCTTCACCAAAGGTCTTCCGTCATCCCTATTTCTGGATTTTCGATCTAGTCTAAACGTTCGATCTCAATCTCCCGTTTCGACTACGGGGGGATGTTAGACATTACTTATACTCATGCATTTACGTTATGGGGGCCTTTTTTATATAGCAGCCCATATATTGTATTTGTATATATATATATATATTATATATATATATATATATATAATATATATATATATATATATATATATATATATATATATAATATATATATCATCTAATGAGAAGGATCACAAATTATGGGAAAATATTGATCATAACAAAATGGTCATTCTCCTTTAATTTCTAGTTAGCTCATTATTTAGTATTGATTAACAAATTAGTTTCTTAATTATTTATTCTTTCTTTGTCAAGATTGAACTATGATTATAACCCAATAGTTCCATGTATTTATTTTTGTGTCACTAACTTTTGTTTCGGTTGACATACTTACCATATATGGTTCATCCATTTGGAATTGGTTTTTGAATTAATTTTGTCAATTTACTACAACTTTTCTGAGATAAGTTATCGATTCAATCCTTCTGTCCAACAATGTAAGTTTCAAGACGGTACGATGCAAGTCCCTCCCAAGTAAAGTTAATATTGTAGCTTGGAAAATCTAAATTTTGATGCTACCTACTTACTCCAATGTGGCCTATCGAGGTGTCAACATCGATACTTAGCTTTGTCCCTTCTGTGGATTTGATCTTGTTGTGCAAGGTGGCAAAATGACTCATTGGTAAGTTTGAACATGCTGGGCATCGTCATTTCCCATCTAGACTCGGTGACCGCAATATTTCAAAGGGGTCAAGCACTCAAGCTTTGGGTATGTCCGGTAAGTCCCTCTAAGCATTTTATGCGGCTGCCTTCAAAGGGTTTTTGACACCAAGCCTATTGATCTATCAAGAACCTTCACTTCATTGCATTCTAAATCTTTCTTTTAGATGTCTTATAGAATTAAAACGGTAGTCGATTAAATTTGATCAATTGGTGTTGTAACCTTTAGATGAGTCGTCTTTGTAATTTTTATTTTATTTTCTTCTTGTAATTTTATAGCTTGTTGCTATTTCCTTTTTTTCTTTGTTATTAATTTTTACGGCCGAAAAAAAAAATCCTTCAGGCTTAAACATACAATTGATTACATGTTTCCCGTTAAAAACAATATTAAACTATAGTTCAGTAGGCATATACAATTTTAAATTTTCACATTATGCATCATAGATCTTTCTTTAAACTATAGTTGCAATAATAAATGCCATATGCTCATATCGTGATCAATATATTAAAAAAATATTCTAACTAATAATTTTGATTCATGATTGCAATACGTATGCTTTAGATACCTGAATTTAACAAATTATACACAAGATCATTGAAACCATCTCTAGTTTTTCACACCAAAACTACAAGAACATGCAAAGTAATCATCTAATCTAATAAGATACGTATTTAACCTACAACAGAGGATGCGTTATAAGGACAAATCTTTACCATAAACTCATAAAGAAACCAGCTTTGTTTAAATGACAAAAGGAAACAAACACAAGATCCTGATTCCCACATCTTGATGCACTTATCAGACAACACAAAGAATAAATCAAATTTCCATTAAATATACGATCCAAAAGGAAATTAAGCTTAGTTTAATCTATATCTCAATTATGGCTACGGAACAAAAGTATGATATAACTTAACATTGATCATGACATGAACTAAGCTACACTCCTGAAGAAATGGAGAAAGTAATAGGGTATTGATGTACTTCATTCAATACAGTGGTACCATTTTCTTCTACAGAAAAGCAAGAAACATCTTCTTCAGACCAATAATGGAGTTCATCTTCAGAATAATAACTCAACCCATCTGAAAACGACAACATACTCATCTCATCATCAGACATGATTGACGAACAAATTCCATTTATGTCCAAAACGTCACCCAACTCTTCAACTTTAACATCTTCTTCATCATCATCATCACCGACTCCTTCCAGAAAAGTATGAGCTAAAAGCATCTCAGCCGTCCATCTAAAACAAGCTTTCCTCGAGAAACAACTCTTCAAGAAACTTCTCCCTTCTCTTGATATACTGCTTGGAATTGAAGGTGATTCCTCATTGTTGTTTTCCATTTTTGAGTTCCATGGAGGTTTTCCGGTGAACATCTCCAGCACGATGCACCCAAATGCCCAGATATCAGACGGAGCTTCTTGGACGCCGTCGGTTAAAATTTCCGGCGAAAAATACATCGAGGTGCCTCTCTGATAACGGACGACTTTTGCTTATCTTGCTCTGTTTTGCCCTTTTTGCTAACCCCAGATCGCCAATTTTAGCCGTGAAATCACCATTAGAGGAACTACCGATGAGTAGAATGTTTTCAGGTTTTAAATCGCAGTGGACATACCCGTTATGATGTATATGACGTAATCCATGAAGAATTGACCTAGTATGACGTTTGACATCCGATTCCGGCAACCCATTTCCACCGGATTTTTTGATGAGATCAGCTAGGGTTCCTCCGGAGCCATACTCCAGCAGCAAATTGTACACCATTTGTCCATTCTCTCCGGTTGTAATCTCTTCCCCAAAACATCTGATCACATTACGACACCCTCGGAGATTATTCAAAACCTCTCTCTCCTTTTGAATTGAAGACGAAACAGAGACCTCAGCCGATTTCACAGCCATAATTGATGGATAAGAGCTGTATCTCGATTTGGGTTTCTTCAAATTCGCAAGGAATACAGACCCAAAACACCCTTTACCAATCAAACAACCTCTAAACCATGCCATTCCATCGCCATACTTGCTCTGTTCAAGCACCTCATGTTCTTGCTTCCTTCTTTTTCTCTCATCGTTCACCACCCAACTCTCGGAACTGATTAGACTCCTCTTTTTCTCATTGCCTTTCTTCAAAACCGAATCCATTCCCAAATGCTGTAGGTTACTTGATTACGAAAGATAGGTCGACAAATTAGAATTAACAAAAAGAAAAAAGAAAAAATTGACTACTTTCTCTTGAAAAGATCGATCAATCTTTTCCCTTTTCTTCTTGGTTGTCAAGAATTTCAAGAAGTGAGAGTATATTCGATGAATTTAGGGTAAAAGAGGGTTATGAGGTGAATGAAAGAAAAACAAAATTTAGGGTTTACGAGCGTGGGGTTGTGAAATTTCGTTGTTTCCATGGAGTTTCTAATTTTAGTCATATGGGGGGATTGGCAAAGAAGCAGCCGCGTTTTCGTTGGAGTTGAAAAGGTAGGACATACATAACACAGGACACCAGTATTCCCTTTTCTTTTTAACGGAATAACTGTCGTCCTTTGTGTTCGTTTTCTTTTCAAGTACATATAAAAATCGTTACCATTTATGTCATATCATCCACAAATGGTTTTCAAATAATGTCTAACTTGTGACATGTCGAAGCTCGAATTCTCAAGATACGTCAAATGTTTTTAACATTAAATAATTATACATATATATTATATGTATCGATCAAATAATAAGTTTAGCTTGTACAGTATTTCTTTTATGGTTAGTTCTTAATCGAATTGATATATGTACTTGAAGCATTAATATCACACAAGCCACATTTGCACCATGTATGCCTACGAAATGAATGTTTATGAATGAATCATTAACTACATTACTCCGGATTTATGCCAACTTACACTCCATGTGCTTGTGAGAAGATGCTAATTAAATAGTAAGATTGCAACAAGTTGCAAATGTTTGAATAAATTTGTTTTTTTTAAGCTAAGTTATTATTAAGGTTATAAGTCTTTGTAAAGACTTATTGTATTTGCCCACTAGATTTTTCACTAACAAATTTATATAAAAGATTTATAAAAGCTTTTACCCAAATTTACTTAAATTTGTATAGAAGTTTTGTTTATCTCTTGAGAATGACGTATAAAATAAAAAAGTTTTGTTTAAAAAGTTTTTTGCTAGGAGGCCATAACTCTTTAAATGATTTATTCAAAAGGTAAAAAGTTTTTCAAAGAGCCTTCATTGAAGATGCTCTTAGAAGCTCTAGCAAGGTGCTACAGGAAAGACTAAGAAATTACAATGGGATACTCATTATCGGGTTTTTCAACCAAGAGCTCCGATCAATACTAAATTTATGGTTCCTAGTAGCAAATCCCTTTAGGGCCATGGCCACCCCGATTTTCGGTGTTATATTTGTCATGTGCTTAGATAAAATATGAGTTTAAGTGTGTAGCCAATATGAATCTTGAAAGAGAAGTAAAAAGACATTATTCTCAGCTGACGAGATATGTCCGATGTGCCACAAGGCATGTTTGGACTCTTTTGGAGAGCATGCATTTCATTGAAAAAGACCTACCTGGTTTCAAATACAGGCACGATATTGTTAGGGATGTTTTGGTCGACATATTTAAGCGTGCCGGAGTTTCTGCCAAGAAAGAGGCTCCTGTGAATTTTTTGACTGACCCGACAGAAGGAATGTCAACCCTTACACCGGCTGACGTTTTGATTTTTGGATGGGTTGGAGGGAAACACGCATGTGTAGACCTTACAGGGGTATCCCCTCTTAATGGCTTGAGGGTCGGGGGTTTCACGGCGGGATAGGCTACATTAAAAGCTGCTACATGCAAGGTCGCCCAACATGAGATATCGTCCATGGAAAATCAACACGTGTTCATACCATTTGCATTTGATACGTTTGGTTTCCTTGCGCCGGATGCGGTAGAGCTTCTTAATAGAGTACAACGGATCATGCATAACAATGTTATATCCCCTAGATTTATGGATGTAGTCTTCAAAAGAATTGGATTTACCAATCAAAAAGGCTTAGCGGCGCAACTTGTTGCCCGTTTGCCTTCTCATTCGTTATACGTTGATAACTAAGTATTATTAATAAAATAATAATAATAATAATAAATATATCAAGATTTTAAGTTTAAACATGGTTCTAAACCCGTAACCTTATAACCTGTAGATGACAGAATACGAGAATAGGCTTTGTTAGGGGATAATAGAAAGACATCCAAGCCAAGGAAAACCATCTATAAAAGCGTTATCAATTAGCGCTTTAGACCTCCCAATGAAGAAAGAACAAAAGAACTAGAACTTGAATCTCTGGGAGGGGCGAAGCAAGTCGTAATAGATGGAAGAGAAGTTCCAAGAGATGGACTTGCTGGGGCAGTTACTAGCTGTATAGTTGCAGTTCCCGCTTAAACAACTCCCTTATTATGCTTTTGGAAGAAATTCCCCAGTCAACCTCCCTTAGTCTCATCCTTTACACCCGGTCCAACCTTGCCCTCTCCTCTTGGCATCTAGGGTTATGTTATGGCTACTGCCTACTATCTCTCTAATAGCGAGGGTGCTTTCATCCATGATGGAGTCATATGACATTCAAAGCCTTCTCTTTGAGATAGGTAACAGACTCAGCTGCTAGCCTTTCGAAATCTCTTTGTCGAGATCACGAATCAGCAGCTATAGAAGGAGTTGTTCCAGAACCCGCGGGCAGAATACCTTTTGTTGTAAGAAGGGCTACTGGTATGACATCAATCACTCTTAGAGTCTTAGCTGGGAACATTCTATTCCGAAAGTCAGGTCAATGCCACAACTTCTTCTTAAGCATCAACATCAAAGTGCTCCAATGCCCTTACTTGAATCTAATGGAGGTCGATGTCCAGGGAATTGATAGAGTCAGACCTGAGAATGTAGTGACTAAGAAGGAAGGTAAAGGAAAGTCAGTCAAAAGCTCGAGTAAGAACGAGAGGAAGAAGAAGCAGTCGAGCTCAATTTATTCTTTAGAGGGAAGTAAGAACGAGAGGAAGAAGAAGCAGTCGAGCTCAATTTATTCTTATTTTACATTATCTTTTTTTCTTTGGCCCTTATTTCTTCTTATCTCTCTTTTCCGACTAACGCAAACATGCTACCATTAACCATGCTACCACAGAGAAAGTAAAGCTGGCTCTTCCAGCTCTCGTATCCGAGGAAAGCTAACTTCATTCCTAAGCATCTTCTTTTCTTGGTGTGATCGTATCAGCGTACGAATCCGGAGTGATGGCATAGAAGGAGCTGTAATTGAATCAAAGAAGAAGTTGTTGTGCTAGAATCCACTGTTATAGAATAGGCAGCTATAGAATCAGCTCCGTCCTTTCTTCCGTTATGCCTTTAATAGCTATCTGATGATCCCGTAACTACCGCAGCCGAGGGGCTTTCCCTCTTTCGCCTATATCGAATTCTGCTACTGCTTCTTCGACTCAAAGAACTGACATCTATCCTTTATCTTTCTCCTATGATTCCCAATATCCGTGGGACTTCCTCTAAAGCCTTTCTCTTTAGTAACTCAAACAAAGAACCTTAGCGGATGGATGAAAGAAGTAACTGAAAGAAAGGATAATATCTTCTTTATCCCATCTAGGTATAGAGATAGATTGAATATTCCAGCGGTTGGTTGAAAAGATATACAATAATAGGAAGAGACTGATTGATATAGCATCTCACTAACTTAATCTCATGACTTTAGAATATCACTTTGTGAAAGTGCTCTCGATATGCCACCAAGAAGCCATTAGTGCAAGCTGGTATTTAGCTCGCTCCTTAGATAAGCTATAGCTCCCTCTTTCTCGGTCAACCAAAAACAATGTAAAATGTATTAAATACCTATTCTTTGTTCTAATCAGCAAGCGGTATACGACAGCTTCGATAGCATCCTCTCCTCTTTCTGCTCCAAATCCCTAGTTTAGAATGCAACGAATGAAGCGAAGAAAGGTGAAAGAGCTACAGAAGCAGGCAACAGAAGGAAGAGCTACAGAAGCAAGACTAAGAACTAGCTCGGCTTAAGGATTAGCTAGCTAGGAGTCTTTCTGTATATTCGAGACTTTATCCCTCGGTTCTAAGTGCAAGGCTTCCTTAGCTGCGGTAACCCTGCTATGCCGGAATTCTTACAGTTATCTCAAATCTAAGCTTGGAACGACGAACCCGGGAACAAGCTTCCTTCGTTTTCGCTTACCTGCTTAACCGTTAGTTGTTAAGGATTAGCAGCACCATCTACTAGCTAGAGCTGTGAAACCTGAGAGAACCGGGTGGAAACTCAAGACTAAGGCAGTAAGAAAGAGCTAGGATTAGTAGTTTGAGTTGGGATAACTAAGTATTATTAATAAAGAAATAATAATAATAAATATATCAAGATTTTAAGTTTAAACCTTTTTATACCAGAAAAAAATACTATTAGTAATTTGCATTTAAAACAAAATCCTAACAAATCTAATCACTATAAGACTTCTTCATATAGTTATGATATTTAGACTCTTTTAATTTAAAGAAAATATGCAAATGATAATCATATTTAGTATCTATCAAAGCCTTCATAATAGCCACAAATTTTTGAGAAAACAAAATATAAAAAGTCAAAAGTTGAGAAACCATAACTACTCATAGAAGTTACGCTGATAACAGGCATAATACGCCCCTCTCTATCGATTTTCACATCATAAACTGCTGCTCTCCATCGCCTTAGATTACACGCCAATCGTTGCTAACCATCACCTTCAAGTCTCACCTTAACTCTATCCACTTATTTAATAATTTTTTATTCTCACTAAACATGTTTATACTTTCTCTCTCGACATACTCTTTTTATTGTGATTATTACTGTGAAGTATGTTGGGGTGGAAGATTTGATCTAAATGGCAGAGAGTGAATTCCTCCAGGTTAGAGAATGGTCATAGAGGGAGTGTGCTCTCATGGTGAGAGAATGGCCAGAGAGAATGGTCGGAGAGAGAATATTCCCTTGACAAAATAATTTTAAGTCTTTAATGTGATCCGACATTTAGCAAAGTGACCAAGCATTTAGAGAATACGTTAGAGCATTTCACTAATGCGCTCCATACATCAACCAAATGCACTCCGACCGTGTCAAATGCGCTCATCGCCTTGTAAATGTGTTTTTTTCTTCT